AGCTGCTGGTTTTCTAAGGTTAGAGTTGCTGTGCTTAAGCACCATAGCACAGTGCAGTCTGGTCCCAAATTTGATGAGTACATCTAACATCTCTTAGTGATTTCCAGTGTTGGCTCCCAATTAAAGGAAGTTTTTATATTACAGAATCTGCTTCTGTGAAAGAGCAGTGCCTTGATTGTTGGTATGGTGAGAGATAAATAAATGGATGTGGTATCACAGGATGTATACTCCCATCCTAGGTTTAAACTCTGTGTCGCACAGCCAGGTATTCTCACCAGACATTTCTAGAGAGGGAGAAGATAAAAATAAGTGAACAAGCAAAATTGAGTTTTATGGAATGAAGCACCTGTCACAAAGGAAGTCAATGGGATGTGTACGATTAGCATTGTAGTAATGTATAATTACTGTAAGACTCCTAATTAGTTACCCTTTGACAATATATCTTTTAATACCAATTTGTAAATGTCTGAGGAGGAAGATTTACATTTTGTTTCTGTTTTATAACCTCAGGACAAAATTAAAAAGAAAAAAAAAGTCAGCATATACCCTTCTTTGGGAAAAAAAAAACATCTCCCCCTGCGATTTATTAACATTTATTTATATTGAATGTACACTCTGTGGTACTATATAACTGCATAATGAAAGGGATCACCATCATGGCTTTTGTTTTCTATGCCTGGAATGTTCTTGCTCTTCTCTCGATGTCCAGTTGTAGCCACTGCTGGAGACAGGAAAGGTCAACCCTGTCTAATATTCTGAGACCCAGAATGGCTACTCTTTATGGGCTTGTATTTAGGGGGTTTGGCTTTGCATGTATAGGTGCCCTGACATCACAGGCAGTGCACAGCTACACCTGCCTATTTTGGGATAAAAAGGGAGATTAAAGTCTTCCTTCTTGGCTCCCTTCTTCCATGCCCTTCTTCCCTCATTTGATCTTAGGCTACAAACAAGCAAGCTATGTCTTGTAAAAGCTTTCCCTTCATGCCATTTGAATTACTTTTGTCCTTCTCCATAGGCATTTGTGTGCTTGTACTGTCTATTTATTAAACCCCAAGCCCCAGCAACTGTGCTATTGGTTTAGTGCCATGCTGTGGGTGATGTTGAGGTATGTTTGGGCTCCAAGCCCCACATTTTTATTTTGCATGAGGCTCACAAGGATGCTTGGGAAATTGTTCATGCAGTTGAGCTGCATTTGGAAGAGGGATCAGGCAAGGGAAGAGAAGAAAACCACAACAGAGGAAGTCCTTTAGCTTGGGAAGCAAGGACAGGGTCCTTGTGAGGTAGGTGGTCCTTGGAGGTCCTCCTCCAGTGAGGTAGACAGGCAGCATCCTTTAATAGGTACTGGGTTCTTCAGGGATAGGATTAATCTCATGTGACTTTGGGCACTTTAATGAGGATAGTACTTGCTGTAGTTCCTTCTGCTTACAGTGGAGAGAGAAACTGGAGAGTGTCTGGGATCCTGACTTAGCTGCACGTTGAATTCTTGAAGTGAAGCGGGATGAAACTAGGTCAGAACTTTCCTAGCTCCCTCTGAAAGTCCCTACCTTTATCAGGGATCTCAGGTAAAACCTATCACACTCTCAGCTCCCACGCACACCTATCTCATGCTTTCTTAATTTCAAAGGTCCTCTGTCAGGGCTAACCCTCCTTCTCCTGGTCATTGAGAGGTTTTACTGGGAGCTTGGCACTGCTGTTTTTTCTATGCTGGAGCTTCATCAGACCACAAAGTCATTGGAGCAGGTGCCAAACCTACCTAAACCATGACGGCTCAGCTTAAATGCAAAGACACAGGCTGTTTCTTGTCCTATGTGCCTGCCTTTCCACACTTCCCACTCCCCTGCCCAGCTTTTCCCAGGTGGCATCTCTGTCTCAAGAGACACTGTTGCTTTAACAGCTGTTTTGTTTCATTTAAACACCTACCTCAGCTCCTGTCCAAAATGCAAACATTTCATTAGCACCTCATCTCCTTTGCTTCAGCCTGCAGCACTCAGCTATAATGAAGTGTTGCACTCAGAAATATAATACGGGGAACACTTGATTAATGCACTGAGACAGGTGAGGGGAGTGACCCTCTGGGAAAAGCTATGGACTAAATTCATCTTGGATGTAATGCCAACGAAGACAGTCTACCAGCTTTGTTCAGATACGTGCTAAGGACCTGACCCAAAGTCCTTGGAAATCTTTCTGGAGCTTTTGCATCAGACCCCAGATCCAAAGTGTTGTGAAGTGGCTGGTTTCAGCTTAGTCACTTCAAGAGGATGGACGCTCACCAGCGCCGTGACAATTGGGTGGGGAGTATGCATTGTGCGGGAAGCGTCACAATGGGCCTAATTGGTGTACTTTCTCAAACTTTGCATGTACACATGCACAAACTTTTTTTTTTTTTTTTTGTAAAAAAATGCATTAGAGAGAATATTTTTTTCTGAGGAAAAACCTTTGCAAGAGATGATTCACCGTAACACAAGTATTTCAGCATCTGTTTCATGTTTTGACAAATAGGCATTACTTTTCCATCCAGAGCCAGTAGCTGGATCTGCTGCAAAGACTCTTTCCACCATTCAGATATTGATAAAAGTATCCAGGATGTTGTTTTAGCAGAGATTTAAAGACACCATTAGTAGCTGAGCTAAATGGAAGTAAGGCAAATTGTAGTCTGCATGATAACACTAAAAGGGGAGAAAAATCCTCATTTTCTGCTTTCTGTGCATAAAAGATCTTTGGAAGAAAACACCATATTGTGTATAACATGCACAGCAAAATAGTCAAGCTTTTTGGTCACTGGAAAAGAATACTACCTCTTTTTTGCCTGTAAAGAGGTAAACTACCAAAGTAAACTACAGAATTTTGTTAAGAGGTACCGAGATCAGGATTCCAGATCTTAAAACACTGATAAAAACACACTTAAATGCTATAGATTTTTAGTATTTCTTCTTGACTATTAAAGTCAAACAGCTTTTCGTGTGCATGTATTAAATGTGTTAAGATGATTTTTAGACTATTTAGGAAAATCAGTTTAATAATCAGTTTAAGAAATTGATTTATGGTTAATAAGTTCCACGTAACAGCAAATAAGAAAGGGATTCCAGTCCTGGATTGTAAAGGCTTGAAAGAAAAAAAATTTTTGCAGTAGCACTAGAAGACAAGATTTTCAGCCATTTTGGTTTGCTTCAGTGGTTGAAGCATGGGTTACTCCATACTTTGGGAAGCTGAGCTGTGAGGCATAGGAGAAATGTTGTCTATTCATCAAGGAACCAGGGCAATAGCTGCCAGGGAGGTGAAGACCTCTTTAAGGTATAGGAGAGATTTGGCACAAAAACAAATTATTTAACTGATCATGAATAAATGCAGGTTGGAGAGTAGGACCTTTGTACTGTCAGAGGAGCCCAATTCTGGCTCAGTCTCCCAATAGGAACCATGGTGGTATGAGAAACCTTCCAACCATAAGGACATTTAGGACAAAGATGCATATGGCAGTGTCTCAGTGAAATGTCTTTGCTGGGATTAAAAGCACAAGCACTGGCAGGTCTAGCTGTCTTTGCTTCTCCTTGAACCTTGCTGTGATTGAAATTTTTTTGAAGGTCACCTGGATATAGCAAGAAAATCAAATTCTGCTTTGAGGTGATTATATTCTCACATTGCACATTTGTATCTGACTGTGACTGGTGAGTGAGTCGGGATGCCCCGCACTCTCTGTGCCATATGTTGCCGTTGTTTTACTCTTTCTGAGGGATCTGCTGGAGGATGGGCTGTGCCATATCTTCTTTTCGCACATCATGTTGTACAGGTGGGTTTAGAAACAATGTCAGGAGTAAATACCGAAGTATTTCCATGAACGAGACATCCTTTAGGCTTGCAATGTGTTAAAATCCCATGGGACGGTCCTTGCCTTGCAGAACAGAGGTGTAGCTTTGATGCTTATGTGTTCAGCATACAGAAAATTATTAAGAATGGCAACTTCATCTCAACAGGAAGGTTGGTTTCTGCAGTCAGCATTAGCTGGCAGTGGAGGTGTTACTTTGTGGGGCAGGCTTGCCTGGTGGCTAGACACTAACCAGCAGAAGAAATCACGATCAAAGTACCTTTTTATTTTCATTTTCCTCTGCACAATCAGTTCTACCAACTGGTACAGCTGGTCTCATTAAAAAACCTTAGCTGGAAAGTAGTTGAGTCAGTTCTGGTTAGTAACTAAGTGGGAGTTTTAGGTAGAGCAAAACATTCAGGTTGGGTAGGCTCTACTGCTGTAATTTTGCAATCATGAGACCAGCGCGGTTTTGTGTGATCCTGGATGCACATCCAGATTAACCTGTGGGAAGTTCTCCATGGGAGAGCTCTTTGTGCCTGGCAGCCCAGGGCAGAAGGTGCACCACAGGAGGGACTGAAGTTGTTACTGTGGTGCTGACTTCTTCCTGAATGGAGTGATTTGAAATGTAGTGTCTTAACTAAATCTCTACGCGCACCTGCTGCTTCTCTGGATGAAGTGGCATAACTCAACTATCTCTTTGTCTTCATGACTGCCTGCCAGAGGGTATGTGGTGGGAAACGTTCTAAGGAACCTAACCCTTGTAGATATTAAACACCTTCCTTGGGTGCCCCAACCCTACTCTTGAATTCTAGTGCTGCACGTAGCAGCAACCTGCTTCACAGATGGGTTTTGAAATCTATTTTCCTGCATGTTTCCTTAATTATTTCCTCATCTCCCCTCGGTCCCCCCAACTCCTAATTCCTTTTTACTCCAAGCCCGGAGTTGCTGATCTCAGAAGCAGAAAAGTACTATTCCCAGCATTCAGAATAAAAGCAACACTTTCTCTCTCTCTCCCATCATCTGATGGGATAAATGATGCCTGGCTCCATTGCAGGCTGCCCCAATGGGGGGGGAAATGAGATGCTGTCCTCTCCCTGTAAACCAGTGTGTGCGAAGAATGGGACTGAGCATGTCAGATGTCTCAACGGTACTTTAGGTTCACTAGAGCCCTTTCTCACTCGACTGCTTTCCCTTGCAGGCCATGGTGGAGACAGTGAACAACCTCCTGCAGCCACAGGCTCTGAATGCATGGAGGGACCTGAACGCAAGTGAACAGCAGCGTGCAGCCACGAAACTACTTGACACCGTGGAGGACAGTGCCTTCGTGCTGGCTGATAACCTGCTGAAGACAGACATCGTCCGGGAAAACACTGACAACATCCGTAAGGGACAGATCCCATAAATACCAAGAGTAGCTGGAGGGAGAGTAAAGGCTTGGAAACCTGGCTTCGGTCTTGGCCCCTAGATTAATTGGAGAGCAATTTGTTAGATGTGTCTTGGCTCTTTGACTGAAGGACTTAAAAGTCTTTCCAAAAGAGCCTAAAGGAATAAGGCAGCTCTCCCTTGAAATTCCATGGAAAATGAGCACCTAACCTGCCTTTATGACTCCTGGCTTTGAAGGCAAAATCTGCACCAGAGCAGTGAGAGCACTGCTTCACAGGGAGATTGTTCATCGTAATACAGTTGTGTTTCATTTTGTACAAATTTGTGTCTTCATTTGGCTGATTGTTGATTTTAATTAAAAAACAAGCATGATGGAAAGCACCAGCACTCCCACTGTGCATATGTAAAATGAGAACAACTCTTCTTTCTATTTCTGTGAATACAGATCCCAAGCACTGATAACATTTACAGAAAGTACCAAACGCTAGTGGCAAAGAACTAACATTTTCAGATTTTCATTTTAACCATTGTCCTTAATATCCTGAGGTTCTTGTTTACAAGAACTGGTTGTCTTTTGTCTTCCACAGAGAGTAGAACTTATTTGGGTTTTTGTTTGGTTTGTTGTTGGGTTTTTTTTAATTAAATTTAAAACTTCTTCAGGGCAAAGATTTAAAAAGAAGTAGGAGCCCAAACGTAGTCTAGCATGAAACACTGTAAATTGATTCCTTTGCTCTCAGATGGTCTGGAACACCATTTTGTAGCTTTGAATTATCATGTCTAAGATTATTTCTGTAGAGATTTTTCTTAGTGTCGGTCTTTCTTGCAAACAGAGCTGGAAGTTGCAAGACTAAGCACAGATGGGAACCTGGAAGATCTGAAGTTTCCTCAGAACATGGGCCACGGGAGTGCCATTCAGCTCTCAGCAAATACCTTGAAACAAAATGGTCGAAATGGTAGGTCCAGCACCTCCGGCTACACTGGCCTCATGACTCAGTCATGCTTTAGAAATTGTTTTGTGTTTAACCAGTTGTAAGTATAGTTTTAATTGCTATGGGTGGTGGTTCAACCCACAGGTAGGACTATGCAGTCCTGCATTCACTCCCCCCACCCGGTGAGGTGGGAAGGGAATCACAACAAAGGGGGCACAAAATAGGATGAAGGACAGGGAGGGCTCACTCACCAGTTATGGTCGCCGGCAAAACAGACTCAACTTGGGGAAGAAAAATCAATTTAATTTGTTGCCAGTCATCTGAGTAACACAATCAGACAGAACAACCACATCTTACAACACCTTCCCCCAACTTTCCCTTCTTCCTGGGCTCATATCACTTTGCTCCCGATGTCTCTACCTTCTCCTTCCCAGCGGCACAGGGGGCAGGGAATGGGGGTTCAGTCAGTTCTCCATTGCTGCTCTTCCTGGCATGGAAGTCCAGGAACAAAGTGTTCCAACACGAGCTTCCCATGGAGTCACAGACCATTTCGGGCATATCTCCCAGCTCCAGCATGAGGACATCCATGGGCTGCAGATGGGCCTCTGCACATCCTCACCCCCCAGCTCTGAGGTTCCACCCCCATTCTGGTGTTGAGTGACTCTGAGGTCTCAATTTCAGTCACACTTGCCCTCAGGCTCAGCTTTTCTGCTCCAGTGTGGAGTCCTCCATAGCCTACACGTGGGTATCTGCTCTGCCGTTGAACCTCTATGGGCTGCAGGGACCTCCTTTGCCTTCTCCTACTCCATGCGGTTGAACTGTGTGTCTGAGGTTCTCTGTCCTCCCCCTCCTACTCCTTCCTCTCGGCAACGAAGCTCTCTCTTTGTTTAGGCCGATGGTCACCTTTTGTTCAGGTCAATGGCCTCTCCTCCAGGTTCTCTGCACCTTCTTGTTTTTAGGACAGTCCTTCCACTCACAAATATGGATTCACAGAGGTGTTTCTCTGCTGCTCATTGGCCCCACCTGGGCTGGGGGTTGGACATGGGGTACACCTTGGAGCCAGGGTAGCCCCTTCCCCCACTACCAAAAAACACGCCCCCCCGACCCCCACAAACCCAACACGCTATGTTAATATTTAAATTAACAGTAGCATCAGTTACTCATGTCTTTGACTGCAAACTAAGTTGACTGACTGGGAACATATTGTATTGGTTAGTGATTCACAGTCTTCAAAAGTATTATGTGCTGGTAAAAATGCATCATCAGATCCTTGAATGATATGGCTGTTGAGGCAAAACGCTGAGCCCAGAGAAGTGCTGCTGTTGTCTGCGGTAGGAGGCTTCAGATGGGATAAGAGGCTTGTTTGAGTAAACTGCTTCACAGTGGGGCACTATAGAACGTCTGAAAAGGGAGAGAGAAGAAACAGTAGTAGCAAATATTAATAATGAGCCAACATGGCAGAAAAGGTTGATTAACTGTTATGAGTCTAAATCTTCAATGCCTTTCTCTCTGAAGCTTATGAACCTCCTGATATAGCATAAATTAAAGTTGATGTTATATGTGAATGATCTTCATGCTGCCAAGTCATTTATTTTCAGACCAGGAATTTGAGCAGACATGTTTGTTGATCTCTACAGCCCTGCTATAGACCAACTTCAAACTCACAGGCTTTCTAATAGTGGGCCTATCATGCTCCTACTTCTGAGTTCCTTTAAAATTTAAGCTGTGTGCAGGAGGAAAGCACTCTAGTACAGGCTTTGATCACTGCAGGCAAAACATGGGATGATAGGGCAGTATTACAGCCAGACCAGATGTGTTAAAACTGCCAAAAATTTCTGACAGCTGTTGAGAGAAAAGTTTGGTCTGGTAGTTCAGAAATAAAGCTTTGCCATTGGCTTCCTTGATGGGATTTGGTACCTTTGCGTGTAGGATTTGAAGAGAAGTGTTTCATTTAGAGACAACCTGCATCTGTGTCATAGGCCAGAACAAAACATGTTTCCCAAGCATACATAGCCTCGAGAATAAAGTGTTATGTCAGATGGGAAACCTGCCACCTGGCCTCTTTTATTCTGGAGCCAGTTATACCTGCTAATGCCAAAAATAAGCCCACCTTCTCTGTCTTCCACCAATCTGTTTGCTTATAGAAGTTTGTTTTGAGAGAGGCAGCTCTGCCCTTCTTATCTATGGACCACTTGTTGTGGTGCTCATTGGGATTGGCAGCAGGAGCTGAGTTTTCATGTGCCACATCTTGGTCCTTTCACATTTTCTCAGAAAAGTTTTAAAGGTGGTTCAGAGAGGAGATTTATCATCTAAAACCAAAAACCCCAGTGCAGTGACCTGGATATCTAACCTCTTACTGCTCTTCTAGGTGAAATCAGGGTGGCTTTTGTGCTGTACAACAACCTGGGCACCTATCTCTCCACGGAGAACGCCAGCATGAAGCTGGGAACAGAAGCAATGTCGACTAATCACTCTGTCATTGTCAACTCCCCTGTCATCACGGCAGCAATAAACAAAGAGTTCAGCAATAAGGTTTACCTAGCTGATCCGGTGGTGTTTACTGTCAAGCACATCAAGGTGAGTGAGTTCGAAAAGCACTTTTTTTTTTTTTAATTTCTAAAACAGAGTGATGCAAAAGTTGGCTGATGTGAGGCCCCCAGCAGTCCTTGATTAGATTTTGAATTATACATTTGTTCCTTTGCACTTTGTGTTATTTATGGAGAATGTCTCTTTTGCTTTACATTAATAAAAGTAAAGAAAGAGTCTCCTTTGAGCCGATGCCCATTGCTCAGTTGCTGACACACATCATTCTGTAATTAAAAACTACCAATATATTAGAATAGACCATAATATTATTTTATCATGGTGGCAGGAAAGTGAAATTACAGTGAAAGAGGACAGCTAGTCCTCCTGTTAGCCAAGCACAGTCATTGCAAAAGTTGATTGCTTAAAGCAATTAATTTCTCTGCTCTGCAATGCAAATGAAACGATCTGGTTCTGAAGAGCTAGATTCAGTCTATGGCTGAAATTAATCAAGAACAAAGAACTAAGTTTGCATTAGCAAAGTGAGCAGCAACAATCTAACTTTCTCTGGTATCAGCAAGTAATACTTGATGTATAAACCACTGCTGATTGTTTATCCAAAATTAAAGGGTGAGAGTTACAAAGTGTCTCTGAAAAAAAAAAAAAGTGCATTTAGAAATCTCTGAAACCCTATAATTTTTATTGCATTTATTCATTTCTTCCCTGCAGCAGTCAGAAGAAAATTTCAATCCAAACTGTTCATTCTGGAGCTATACAAAGCGTACAATGACAGGGTATTGGTCCACCCAGGGATGTCGCCTTTTGACAACTAACAAGACACACACCACATGCTCCTGCAATCACCTAACCAACTTTGCAGTCCTGATGGCACACGTGGAAGTTAAGGTAGGTGTTGCAGATTCACAGGCTGCCAAGGCACTGGGCAGGAAAAGTGGCCGATGTAACACCATTTTGTTACTGCAAATGGAGCTGAGCAGGGAAATTGCTGTGTGACAGTAACTCTTAAGAGTAGAAACCATCTGGTGTAAATCTTCCTTCTGCTATGTGGTGAAACAGGAGATAGTCACACCAATGCAAAGCCCGTCTTGAGCTCCTGGCATGGGCAGCTGTGATCTGAGGATGGTGAGTGAGCAGAATTAACTGTTACCACATCCTTTACTTACTGGTACAGAACATCTCCTGGCTGGTTCCTTGCTTTTGGGGTCCTCACTGTGCCATCGGGGAGTAGCAAGCACCCTGGGTGGTGGGACAGAAACGTGCAAAGCCTGCCTCATGGGGTGCAAGCTGTGTGTCCTGCTTGTAGCAGCTGCAGATACACTGCCACACATATTTGTATGAGGTGCATGTGTGAAGCCAAAAGTATTTTCCAGCTTCCAACTAGGGGAAAAAGATATATTCTCTGCATCTCACTATGTGGCAGAGAGCTACACATAAAAGGGAAGCTCCTTATACCATCCTGCATGGGCTGTACATCTACCTGAGCTAGTTCCCTTGCCTGCATTTTGGTCCATGGTGTAATTCTGGCTTCCCACTTGAGCTAAAGTAGTTACTCCTGAAAGCAGATGTTCTTCATGGTAGCAGTGGTTTAAGGACTGAAGTACACATTTGGGATTTTATTCAAGAAGGGGAGAATGGTTGAGGTGGTCCTCCATTTCCTGAGCTGTCTTGACTGTCTTTGGTTGAGAACAGTCTCAGCTGCTGTAGAAAGAAACTGCTGTCTCCATTTCATGTGCCTGGCACTGCAGCAAGAGCCATAGCTCTGAGCTAGATACCGATCTGGCATCTTCCATGCAGGCAGAACGTTTCAGAGCCACTTCCATGGCTGCATAACCATAAAAGCTATTGTGGTTTTAAAAGACCTTTTCTCAAATAGTCTTCCAGTGTCACTCCTTTTATTTGTGTTTCACTGGATAATCTGAGGAGGAATGTGAAGAGCCTTAATAAAAATATATATTAAAGCACTGTCATGCATGACCAAAGCTCTGCAAAAAAAGAAATGAGAGCCTAGCAGCACATATGCCACAACAGCTGGGTCCAGCTGAGAGGGATAGATCTGCTGTTGGAGGATGATGTCTCCATTGTATTCTGCAGGAGTCACTACCAGTCCAGGAGACATACCATTAAATGACTGTGACATTATCCTGGGAGATGTCTGAAGAAATGGCCTATTCAGAGCCCATGTTTACAGGTTCATGGCATTCTGCAGTCCAAGTTTGTTTTTGCCATTTTCCTGCTTGAATTTTCAAAAGAAATATGTTTGGCTCATTATCACCTGCCTGGAGTTAACAGATATACCTGAGTCACTGAAGTCAGAGGTTGCACCTGGGAAACACAGATAGCTTTCCACTCTGCTGATGTGAACGAGGGCGATCCCTACTGCATAGTGGAGATACAGGCTAGTGATGAAGAGGCCTCTTCACAAACTGCTAGTAGGTTAGCCTTGTCTGCACAGCATTTCACCCAAACCTCATTAGACAAGTAACACTGGTATTATCTCACCTTGCAGAAGGAGAATGTGAGACCTTTACTTGTTCCTGCTCAGCCAACAGGTTGGAAAGAGCTACAGCTGGAAGCTTCCCAAGTGCCAAGCCTGTATGCTATTAGCCAGTGGGTGTTTCTGGGTGTTAACAAGCGCCCTCAAGACTTTCAGGTCATGTTTTATCATTTGGCTGCAGCCAAAGTATCATTGCTGTGAGAGCCAAATCAGCTCCACTTTGTTGACTCTGATGCAATTGGACAGCTTCCTGGCATGTCTTCTTTAGCGATCATCCCGGTCTGAGGGCGATGGCAGATGCCTACACTGTAAACATCTGCAACTTTTCCCTCCAGCTGCTCATAACCTTGCTCTTCCTGGTGGCACCATCCTGTTCTGGTCTGCTGGCGGAGCTGGCCATGTGGCTCTTGGCAGATCTGGGAGGTGGGTTGTATGACATTCCTTATGCTGTTGCAATGAGTTGATTTTATAGTCTGGACAGCCGAATACCTGCTGGTATGGAAAGATGAAGGTTTAAAAATAAATGGGGTTTGTTGTTGTTCATTGACACACACTCATCTCTTGTAGGTGTGCCTTTGAGCCATTTTGTTGCCCATGTTTTGTACAAAAAGGCATTCCTTGCCTCCAAGACCATTTAGTCTTCTTGGAGGTGGAACAATCCTTGGCAAAGGAGGTTGTATGCTTGTGCAGGACCTCTTACAGCAGTGTTCTGGCCAATGATTAGAATTCCTAAAGAGGACTGTCGTACACACAATAATTAATAATATTCCGGAAGTTTTGCAACAGAAACGATTTTCTTCTGTAATTGAGATTTGTAGTTTACTGACTTCAGTTTGTCAGATTTTTGGATCCGTAGGGAGCATCCTTTGGTGTAATGAGTATCCCCAGCACCCTACCTAATGAGACTGAACACCAGGCATCATGGAGAGTGGACATCAGAGTCTCGCTCCTTAATCAAAAGCCAGCACCAATTTGACAAGTGTCACTTCTCGTCATGAATGATCTCCCTCCCTGGTAGCATGGCAAAAGAGCGTGTTCTCCAGAGGAGACCTCGGTGGCTGCTCTGCGAGTTACAGACTGGTATTTAATTATTAGCAGGGCGCATGTGGCAATGTGGAGCTGGAAGGTAGCACCACTGAGAAGATGATTGATGGCCGTCTGGCTCTCTAGCATGAAACAGCAATATGTCTTTGTCTGAAGGGGCAGAAAATGACATTGACTGACCATGGTGGCAGGGATTTTTTGGTGTACTTCAACAGCAGAGGTTGCTGGGATCAATTCCAGTCTTACTAGGACAATATCCCACTAAGAGGAGGAGATTTTAATTTGAAGATGCTTTCTGCCTGTTAAAATTAGTTGGCCCAGAGTTTCTTACTCACCCATGTATTTCATTGGGGTAAATAGCGGTGCCCAAGACCAAGAGCCTGCTGCACGCACAGATAGGGTGCATAGCTGCCGGGAAGAGCAATGGACCCACACCCACAGATACTCCTCCAGCTGCTGTCAGAGCCCCAGCTAGCATGGAAAGAGGACAGCAGGACCATAATGACCTGTGAGCTGGACCTCACTGACGTGCACCCCTGGCAAGGGATGACCTTAGAGACCTGCAGCGTTTGTTGCTGTTTTTGACAGTTTACCTTTTGGAGAGAGATTTTAAGACTTGGAAACAAATTACTATTTTCATCAGCTAAGAAGTTCATTTGGCCTGTTTTATGGGAAAATTATTACAATCTCATAGATATTTTATTAAATTATGAGATATGTTTAACATAGATAGGATCTATGTTAAATATCTGTGTATTGTTTGAATCAGTAGGGTATTTGTTATGACCCTGAAATGCTATAAAAACATGGTGGTTCCCATTCCATGGGGCAAAGCCCGTAGTTAAATAAGCCATTCTACCTATGTAATTGATGCAGAATTATTCAAAATTTATAAGCTGGTTTTAATATAAGCTTGTGCTTTGCATCATATTAATTATAGCAGATGCATCTTAAATGTACCATGGGAAAAATATGCAGCCAGAAAACAAGTTCAGAGCTGGTGGGAAAATGCAATTAAAAAAACCACCCAAAACAGAATAAGCAAAGGTACCTCAGGGTAGATAAATGTTGCTTATCAGTATGTAGTGAATACCAGAGCTTACTCTTCTTTTAAAAATAAATGAATAAATAAGTAAAACAAGAGAGAAAGGGGGGGTGGGGGAAAGGTGTTTTAACCGTAGCAATTAATCAGAAGCTTTCAGATGTTATTCCACACCACAAACACTGTGCTAATTATTTGGGGAATGGAAGCATAAGGCAAGCTAAGGAGAGAAAGGAATAAAAATATATGAAGTCTAAATGGAATGCAGTGGTCCATTACCTAAAGCAATACAGACATTTCGGATATAAAGAGCAAGCTGAAGTTATTGCAGTGCTGGCTTATCCATATATTAGCACTTGTGTGATTCAACAGCAGTGAACGAAAGCAGAAGTGGGTGCAGGATTGCAAAAACACCCTAACTACTGAATTAAATCACTGAAACCTCTATGTAGTGAATTCTACAAGACAAATAATTTTGTACCATCAAAGGGGTTAATTCTCAAAAAAAAAGATATATATTATACATTGCAAAAAATAACTTATTCTAATATGTTTTTAAATAAGTACTGTTTAAATTAAGCAGAAAAGTTACTACATGTGCTTATTTTCAATGAGATTTTAAAATTCCAAATATAGCAGTATTTGAGCTCTTGCTAGGAACAGAAATCTGTGACTTCAATGAAATCCAAGAATAAGGAGTTGTAAGCAGCATATTTGGCTATACCTTAGGTCAAGTAACCTGTGTCTGTGGGGTCGATTCAGAGTTGTATTTGGTAGCATTCCTCGAGCTTTTTGTCTAGGTGGGCAGTAAGTCACTCCAGGGAGTTCCTTGAGTTACCCACCCTCAGTTTGACACACGTTGTTTTGGCTTGAGCCCTAGTTGTGTCTTAACCATTTCTAGTTCTGACAAGTTGGATGTCTCACTGATCCTTATCTGTGCATTCCCTGAACCATTGACCCAGATCTTCTCAGGTAGCCACTTTTGAGTGTCCATCCTGAAAACATCTAGAGCCTGGCTTCAGAAAGATGTACTCCAAGCCCTTGAATTTTCAATTTCTTAGCTTAGCACTTACAGGTGTCAGAAATTTGACAGGCCTAGTTGCACAGTAAGGAGCTGTGCCACAGAGCATGGGGACAGCGTTACCCTGTCCTGAAATGTGCAATTCAAGTAGCTCCCATGGGCAAGCATTAAGCCTTGCCCTATTTCTTGCTGCAGTTTCCTTTCTGTGTGAGAGCAGGGTGAATGTGAGGACCAAAGTCAAGGGAGTGGCTGTGGTGTGGTGGAGCTGTGTCCCAGCTGTCTCC